ACTCCTACCATACGCTACTGCACCTTGATACTTGGAAGTCTCATGACCACTCAGTGTGAAGAATGAGTTTTGGGCTACCACTTAGAAAGGAAAATGGTGAAGTTTTGTTACTTTGGAAACTTGGCAATTAGCAAGACACCTCCTTCGTCAACTCTCTCGACCAGATACTTGGGGGACTCCTACCATATGCTACTGCACCTTGATACTTGAAAGTCTCACAACCACTCAGTGACTTGGATTTTTTCAAGTCTCTAACCGAGAAGTTTTCCTCACTCAGGAAATTATGGGAGCACTACCTCAACCTATACGCTTCACTCACAAAGCTTCAACATACAAGATTCAACAAAAGGAAAAATTCAAAGAATTTAGTGAAGAAGGCCTTGGTGTATTTAACATAATACGTTGAAATGAAACAAAGCTTGTTTATTGATATCTCTGATAAGTTACAAATATGTACATATACATAAATCAAAATAAACAAACAAGAGGGAGCCTTCACAAAGGTTGCTCAGGAGAAGTCTTAGCAGTCGGCAGAGTCATGTGCGAGCTTGCACACTGAACACTGAGAGCCAGAGAATCCTTAATAGCCAACTCATCAAACCGTTTGGAAAGTAGTCTGTTATCTTTGGAAGTGAGAAGGTTCCTGGCCACCACCGCAGCGGTCATATCATTCTTCATCACAGAGTCCCCAATGGTAAGAGGACCAGTAGGGTATAAGAATGATGGGCGCCATATGTTGTCTTGAGAAGGCATGGCTGCCTCTTCACCAAAGTTCAAGTCAAAACGACGGTCGGATGGGCCAGACATTCTCAGAAATGATGAAGGAGAAATAAGGTGTAATAAATCTCTGAAGTAAGGGGAAAATTCCTACAAGCAATAACTCTTTGAATGTACTTCTTGCACACAATTGGTGCCCATATAAAAGAAAGGGCAACATGACCGTTGGTTAAAAAATCGAAGAAGCATCACTCTCCGGATTCCGAAGAGGCACCACTTTCCACACGCAACATCAGCTCATCGAGTACCACAGATAACTTTGCCAAATATCTCTGACAAAGTTCAGACACATAAATTTTGAAGGTCCAGCTACCCTACTATTACCCACAAGGGTAAAGGAATAGCACCACTGCTTGATATGTGTGTCAATCTCCGTGCTCCGTGGCAAGGCAGACTGGCAAAAATGCCCAACCTTTACTCACATTCGAGAAAACACTCCCAACAAGATTGCTTGCTCAAAAATCGAAAAGGCATCGCCTTTCGAATCTCGAGAGCCAGACTCCCAATAGGATTACTTTCTCAAAAATCGAAGAGACACTGCTCTCTGAATCTCAAGAGTCAGACTCCGAACATGATTGATTTCTGAAAAATTGAAGAGGCACCGCTCTCCGAATCTCGAGAGCCAGACTCTCAGCAGGATTACGTGCTCAAAAATTGAAGAGGCACCGCCCTCCGAATCTCGAGAGCCAGACTCCCAACATAATTACTTTCTAAAAAATCGAAGAGACACTACTCTCTGAATCTCAAGAGTTAGACTCCCAACATGATTGCTTTCTCAAAAATCAAATAGGCACCGTTCTCTGAATCTCGAGAGCCAGATCCCCGACAGGATTACTTGTTCGAAAACCGAAGGGGCACCGCTTTCCGAACTTTGAGAGCCAGATTTCCTTAGATAAAGCTTGTCTGCAATCTTCACATGCAACATCAGCTTTCCAGATACCACAGACCACTTTTTCAAAGTGCTATGACAAAGTTAAAACACGTGAAGCTTGCAGCTCCCACTACATTGCTATGACCAAGAAGGGTAAAGGAATATCACTACTACTTGTTGTTAGGGACACTCCTTTATATGTCGACCTCTATCCTCCACAGCCAGGCAGACCTGTTAATAAATAAAAAATGCTCAACTTTTCTTCACATCTGAGAGGGCACTCTCAGCAGAGTCTCTCGAAATACTCAGCTTTTTTTCCTCCCGATAATACCTCTGCAAACAAGCCATACTAGAGTAAGAGTATCTCATATCATCAGGGTTAAAAGAAAGAGTATCCCATATCATGCTTTTTCCTTGTCTTTTCATTTGGCCTTGTTCTTACCTGCAAGACAAGGAGAAAGAGAGCAATCAGTCAACACTTGGAATCAAGCTTCCAGTCAAGAATTGACTGCTTGGAACCCCTTGCCTGATTACTTACCTGGCATTGCTCTTGAGTACTCATCTTCAACATTTTATGCTTCCAGAGAAGATACCACATCTGCCTGAGGAACAGATAGGGCAAGTGAGAAGGATACACAAAAGCATGTGGAGACAAGCATAACAGAACACGTGTCGATACATCCACTACTTTGTCAACAGAAAAAGTATCACATATCATCAAGGTCGAACGTACTCTAGATTTGATGGTCTTGTTTTGACCTTCAAATTCTTGAGTCGGCCTTATACTCTGGAGGAAACCAGAAAACCCTCCAGCCCAATTCAAAAATAAGCCTCTGGAAAGTTACTTCTTCAAAAGCAAAAGTATCTCATATCATCTTTTCTCCATTTGTTTTTCCTTATCCTTGTTGCTGTTTACAACACAAGGAGAAGGAGAACAATCAACCGAAAGCCGAAGTCGAACCTCCGATTAAAAGCACACCACAAATTAGCACACAAATGTCCTATTGATTTTCCTTATTAACACTAAGATTTGTCAATTGTAGCATATGAAAATAAGGGTCTTTCCTGCAGAAGATTGTTTTATCTAACTACCTAAAATGTCACAAAAATTGGGTTGCTGTCCCTACTGACCAGCCACCAAAAAATAATTATTAGACTGACTTATACTTATCTAAAGTCTACAAAATACAAATTTTTGGGATTTTTGGAGCTTCCAACAATAGCTCTTTCTTTTGGTGATGGAACCAAAATCAAAGTGTGAACACGGAAAATTCCGACGGGGCTTGATCTTAAAGGTGGATGATTGTTGATCCAAGGGGCCATCGGGGCTTGATCTTGGAAGAATGATGAACGAAGAACGCTTTCTTCAAGGGCCGTCGGGGCTTGATCTTGAAGGAGGATTTGATGAAGAACGAAAAGGGCTTTCTTGATCCTTCGGGATTTGCTTGAGAGCTTCGGAGTTTCAGAGCTTCAGAGCTTCAAGGTGTAATCTCAATCTGTTCCAAATGAATGAATTATCCTTCTATTTATAGAAATTTCCAAGGCCTAATTTTGAATATAATATTCCAGATGAAATAAGTCGTTTCTGCCAGGTATTGACACGTGTCCTGTTTGATGACTTTTCCAACTTATTTCAATTTTTTGTTTAGACACACGCTACGTGTAAAATTTATGTAATACATGAGCGTTGACACTTTGATTTCGGTTAACATTTATTTACCGAAATTTCGATGTCTACAAATGTCCCCACTTCAAGGCGCGTCGTATACATGTGCTTTGTCACGTGTAGGAGATGCGTTTTGAAGCCCCTTAATGAAATTTTGATGTCTACACAAAGTTCCCTAAGCTTTTAATGAGTCATACTCTTCTTGCATTGTTGCTTGCTATTGTAGAATTGTAGATGCTTTTCTAAAAGATAAAAGTTCTTGCATATCAACTATCTTAGAGATGAATGAATATCACCAGTAAATGGATATTCTTCAGTAATTTGCAAAGAATGAAGCTTAAGAAAGGAAGCTATTAAAGTAGTATAGTTCTTTTTTCTCAATAACAACACTTTTTAACCTGGTAGTCATGGAATGTGTATTTGAATATATAACACATTGATTTGGTTCACAAGTAGTGAGATAGGAAGAATTACCTCAAGCTGACTGGATGAATAGACAAGCAACACGGATGTTGTACCAGAGTGATGATTTGGAGAAAAGTCATGATCTAGAGAATAATGATGACTTGGATAATGATCTTGTAGACTTTTATCACTTGATTCAATCACTTGTGATCCACTGATATGAGGAATGATATCACTACTTTCTAAATTTGCAATGTTGTGATTGATACTGGAACTAACATATTGAATGCGTCATTTACTTGAATTCAAAAATTGACCCCTTTCAGACATTGATACATCACTTCCTTCTTGAACCACATTCTGAATGTTATATGTTTGCTGAGATGTCCCACTTGGTATATTAAACTGCATTATCCCTGGAGAAGTTGAGCTTCTCTATGTATCCTTTGAACCATTGGTATCACAGAGATTCTTAAAAGAAAACACTTCCTTACATGAATTACACTTTTAGAAATGATGAACTTCTTTGTGTGAATATTATAACACAACACTCCTTTATATCCATTAGAAAAACCCAGAAAAACACATTGGATTGATCTTGGTTGAAGCTTGTTTTCATTAAAAGGTCTAAGTAGAGGATATACTGCAGTTCCAAAGACTTTAGCTAATATCAGGATTACATTTAAACAACACATGATAAGGGTCTTTCATATCCAAATTCTTGCAGGGCATTCTATTTATCAGAAAAAGTAGCATGAAAGCTACTATGGTACCAGAGTTGGTAACTTGGCATCTAACATCAAACTAATAGTTGTTTCCATAACATGTCTATGCTTTCTTTCAACTAAACCATTATGTTGTGGTGTTGGCAAGAATGTATAATTCCTTTACTGTCTAAAAACGGATGAAACATGTTGCTCATATATTCACCCCCACATTCTAATTGAAAAATACTTGATAGTAGCATTGAATTGTGTCACATCCCGGACCAGGCTCCACCGCCGTAGCACGATATTGTCTGCTTTGGGCTTACCATTGCCTCACAGTTTTGTTTCTGAGAACTCACACGAGAACTTCCCAGTGGGTCACCTATCCTGGGATTGCTCTCACGCTAACTCGCTTAACTTTGAAGTTTTGATGAACTCCGAAGCCAGTGAGCTCTCAAAAGGCCTCGTGCTATAAGGAAATGAGTATGTATATATAAAGCACATCACCCACTCTCCGTTGGTCGGTGTGGGATCTTACAAATTATGTAACAATAAATGCATAGAATTTGCAAAATAATGGAAAGACATCTGATTTATTCATCATTGGGAAAATCCATACAAATCTAGAATATTCATCAACAAAGCTTATGTAATATCTAAAAGCTTCAATAGACTTCACAAGTGAAGGTCCCCAAACATCTTAATGGATATTTTCAAACATTACAGTTGACCTATCTTGTTTTACATGGAAAGGTAACCTATTCATCTTGCCATGAATACATGCAAAACATAGCGATGGACAAGAATATGAAGTAACAGGAAACTCAGCAACATTTAACATTCTATTTAGTATTTCCTCAAATTGATGACCCAACTTTTTATGCCATACTGAACTCTTTATCTTCTTTCCAACAAAAGCAGCATTATTCCCAAGCTTTGCAACAAAAACTTTGAAAACACATTGATCAGGATCTTGAACAGCTCTCCATCATCACTCTTTCCTTGGTACAACACCATCCGAGTTACCTTGTTATGTATAAAGAAAACCAAATCATCACAAATGAACCAACATCCATTATCTCTGCACAATTTCTTGACAGATAGTAAATTCATTGTTATCCTTGGAACATGCAGAACATTATGTAAAATTATAACATGCTGAGAAGTTTTAATAATAGATGAGCCAATGTTTGAAACTGGCAAACCTTCTCCATTACTAACATTTATTTTGGCATCGCCATTATAAGGAACAAGATTGTTTAAGACATCAAGATTTGATGTCATATAGTGAGTAGCACCTGTATCAACCACTTATGTATTAGCTGATGCAAAGTCATGAATATTCTGAACTCCATTTGTTGCATTAGAACCATGAGCAATCATTCAAGTAATTGAGGCTAGAGGTGGAGCACCTTGGTATGAAAAAATTGTTCCTATGAAAACATTCCAATGCTATGTGACATTTCTTCCCACAAATTTGACATATCACAAATCCACTTGTAAGTTGACCACTACCAGTTATGTAAATTCAATAAGGACACATCAGTCTTAACCCATTCTTTGTAAGCATTGGATATTTCCTTTGTCACCTCAGTTTCAGGAGTAATACGGAACTTAGGTGGACACTGTGACTCTCCATCAAAGAAATAAAAAAGATCATACCTCGAAGAACTTACTGAAATTGGTAATTCCATATGACAAAATCATCCTCTTGTAAATTCACAATAAGCATACCCAAAAGACTGAATTTTGACCACATTAGACGCCATATCTTCTTCTCAAAACAAAGAAACACACTTCAATCAAATAACAAAATATTGCTTGTTCTAATCGGCCTTTTTGAGTGAACAAAACTCAAATCAATCAAGAATTAATCTTTTCAGCAGGGAAGGAATGATATTCGGCCTTTATATTCCTTCAACAAGCTTTCATGAATTGGCAATCAGCCTTACGAAACATAAGATCATACATAGAATTTTCACTGTGACATGTGAACAAACATATGGAATGCACGAATCAGAAACGAAACCTGAAGATTGAGTTCTTGATTGGAAAATCCCGTTCGAAAACACCAAAAGATCCCCAACACTCAGAGACAATCACAACGGACGAACAACCACAAAGATCAAAATAGTCATCGAATGATAACATGATAACAGTTTTGCAATTATGCAGAAAACCCGAAAAGGCAGAGAGAAAAACTAAAGAACAATTGAGAGAAAACTAAAAAGAATGAAATCTTTTGTATTGATGAATCTTCACTATTATATTTGCATAGTTTCAGTTGTTATTAGAGCTATGGAAACTTAGTAGCCAAGCTACTAATCTAACTAACACAACCAACTTCTGACAAACTTACTTAACAACCTTGCTGACATGGCACTCCAAATACTAACCACCTATGTTGACATGACACTCATCATTAACAACCTGATTCTATTACATTCAACAATCATAGCGTTTATTAGGTCCCAACACTATCTTTTGTTGATTTTTAAAGTTGAAAAATATAAAAATAATGAAAACTAATAGCAGGTCCCCCAAAGAGATTTGTATGTGTCCAAAATCTTGGGAATGTCCTAAATTAATTTTAGAAAACATGTTGTGTGAATAGAATGACTCTAACTTTGGCTAATAAAAATTCTCAAAATCGATTGGAAAACTGTGGGTTATAACTCACAATTTTTGGGAAAAAATTGAAATTTTGACTTTAGGAAATATTTTCCATCAAAGTTAAGGAAAATGTTGAAATACCTTTGGATGTGATCCAACCGTTCATTAGGCCCCAAGTTATTTTTTATTGATTTTTTAAAGATGCAAAATAGAAAAATATTTATAAATTTAGGTTTTAAATAATTGATTTCAAGTGTATAAATATGAACTTATAATAGATTTTGCACGAAAAATATATTTTGAAGAACATGAATATGGTAGTTTGTTGTTATGGTAAGAGAAATAAAAGAAAAATTAACCAAAAAAAAACTGAAAAGAAAAAAAAATTGAAAAAGGAGGATCGGTGACGCACCCCGACCCGAGATGTCCACGTAGATACCTGAATCGCGATGTGCTGGCCAACACCTAAAAAGTGACGAAGCCATAAAGTGTAGTGATGTGGAAACTGTGAATAAATTAAAACCTTAAAGTGACTAATTAGAGCGTGCATGTGAGCGGGATTGAACTTATATCACACAAGTGATGTCAGAGCATAGATAAAATGCAATAAAAGAAGAGTAAGAACATTTATACCGAAAGGAAGGATCCTCTTACATGTCAGCTTTTGCAATTAAAAATCGTCGACAACATGAGCTCTGCCACTAAAACCTGGAGGGGCGAAAAACAAAGGTGAGTGGGCCTAAAAAATAAAGTTTTGTAAACCATTTTCGAAAATGTGTAACCCCTGACTGTAAAACAAGTACAAAGTTTCTTGAAAATATTATAATACTAGTATGTAATACGATACCCTGCAGCAGAAATGAGTCGAAAGATGTAGGGTACAACAACAAGGTTTTTCAACATTAAATCTCAAATCGTTATTACAAGAAATCAATGCTCATTAATTTATATAGGCACACAAGTCCATTGCAAAGATATTCAGACAATGAAATAGGCTGGGTGTAGGTTCTGCATTCTAGTACAACATTACGTGAGCTACGCTAGTCGCATCACATATGAGTCCAACACATCACACAAAAGGACATGATGGCACTTAACTCTGGATCCAAAGTGAATGTAAATAGTGCATGTGATCTACACGTGAAGCTAGTCCTTGTCCTAGAACAGTACAAATAACTAAAAGACACTGTGCAAACATGTAATGATGAGCAGATAAAATGTAAGGATGTCATGCCACAAGTTTATGCTCACAAATAATATTAAAAACATCAAGTGTACAAAAAATCTATTTGTAAAGCTCAACATGGCATGTCACATCATAATATATAAAAGCAGTTTTTGGGAAAAATCACACACACTCACAAGTACATGCATGTCGTAAACGTCCAACTATTCTGCTCGTTGTACACCTTCGGAATGTCCTATCTGATCACTCATATATTTCATGCATTTATACCATTCATTTCTAAAGTCTTTGTGATGTTTTTGTGTTAAAATTGTGGCATTTTACCTTACCTTGTGTTAATGTGCAATTAAATTTATTTTAGGATCACTTTCAAGAAAAATGGAGAAAAGGAATTAATAAAAACAAATAAGAGAAATGGAAGTGGAGCTTGTCTCCACGGGGTGATGTTTTGAAATGATCATTGCCTTATTGTTTAAAGCAGCAGAAAACAGATAAGAAAAAGAGGGAAAGGCACACGGGACAGACTGGCAGACAATGAAGAGTGAAAGGAAAAGAATAAAAGAATATCAAAGGCAGCAGAAAGTGGGTTGATGGAAGACACGGCATAAAGGATAGACAGAGAGGATGGCACAAGGACAGATAGAATAATAAAAGAGAGAAGTGGGAGAGCATGGAAGGAAAAGATTAAAGAAAAGAATTGAAAGTGGAAGGGGGGCGGAAAGCAAAGAAAAACAGGGGGAAATACGAGGGCAGAAGGGAAGCAGACTGGCAGAAAATAGAGGGGAGAGGAAGAGCGCAGAGAAACGAAGCGCAGAGAGATGGGAGCGCAGGACTGCGCAGAAGCAGAGGCGCAGAAGCAGAAGGAAGAGACTGACGCAGAGCAGAAGAGGAACTAAAATCGGGTGTTTTCTTTCTTGTTATTTTTTTATGGATAATTTCTTATGTATGAACATAATTATGTGTAACTAATTTATTATGCTAGAGTGAGGCCATGAGCCGCAACATGAATACGTAGATTTATTTTTCAATTGCTTAAGTGTTGTTACATGCTTGCTTTGATATTTTCAATCTCTAAATTAAACTATCTATGTGTCTTGATGATTGATCACCATTAGGATGCTTAGAAAAGTTATTGGATGCAATTTTGAACGAATGTCACGTTAAAATTGGTTGTGCTTCTTGTGATTGAGGATTGTACTCTCCTAAGGTAAATATCATGCTCTTAGGGATTACATGGTTTAACAAAAGGATTTTCACCAAGATTAATGAATCTCTCATGTTTATATTTAATCCAAATGTCATGGATAAGTTGCATGTAGTGGTATGTGTTTTAGCTTGAATGTCACAAGTAAAACATACACAAGGAAAATCCAACCTTCAAAGCATGTGTGTTTTCAATTATTTAAGCAATTGGAATAGCTACATAGGAGTGTTGTTGGTAAAGGTTGAACTCTAGCATATTGTCGATCTATTTTTCTTCAATCATTTATTTTATCTTGAATTTCCTTATTTACTTGTTTTGTTTAAGTTGAATCATTATTCCTATAAACCAATTCCCATTTTAGATATATGTTTAAGTCACATCCAGTAATATTTAGTTTCGTCAAATTAGTGTAATTCTTAGAGTTAAATAAGTTAAATACACAAAAACTCGTAAATTGTTTATATCAGTCCCTGAGGAGATCGACCTTGCTTGAGCCATTCTATACTACAAACACTTGTTCTCTTGCAAGAATTTTCTATGGTTTAACCCCTTGTTTTACAAGTGGTAAAATCGCTATCACTATCCTAAATGGGAAATAACTACACTAATTATTTAGGGTAAATTACAGAGTAGCCCCTCAGGTTTGAGGTCTATTACAACCACATACAACATCTTTAAAACATTTCACTTTCATACCTCACTTACTATTTTATTTCAAAATAATACATTCGTTACATTTTCCATTCATTGATTTGTTAAGTGCTGACGTGGCTGCCAAATGTGTGCCACGTGGCAATAATAATATTTTTTTTAAACCTGAATCTTTTAAATTTAAAAAAAAAAAAGCCTGAAACCCATCCCTCCACGCTGCCCTTTCCCCATCACCACCGCAGAGCTTTCTTTCCAATCCCTCTGCTCCTCACGAAGGTCTTCCGTCACCACCCGATCTTGCCGTCCATCGGGCTGATTTCTCATCGCTACCTTGCTGCTCCTGCTTGTTGTTGTCTTCAGCGACGAAGATGATGCGGGGGAGGATGACGTCCTTGGGGTTCGAATTCGCATTGGGGTGGGGTGGGGGGTTGCAGGGGAGGTGGGGATGGGGTGGGCTGGGATGGGTGTGGGATGGGATAAGGGTTACGGGGAAGGGATAGGTTTTAGTCCTTTTTTTTTAATTATTATTATTATTATTTGCAGGGGTGGGGGGTTGTGCGTAGGTGGGTCGGGAAGGTGAAGAGGGAGGAGTGGTCTGAGGGCTGCGATGGTGATGGGGAAGGGCTGCGGTGGTGATGGGAGGAGATGGAGGTGGGTCGAGGAGGGAAAGGTTTCTGGGTTTGTTTGCAGGGGTGGGGGTTGAGTGGAGGTGGGTTTCAATTTGAGTTTTTTTTTTAATTTAAAAGAATCAGGTTTTTAAAAATAAAAAATAAAAAAATTATTATTTTTGCCACGTGGCACACATTTGGCAACCACGTGGCACAAATGTTGCGGCCACATTATCACTTAACAGATCAATGGATGGAAAATGTAACGGATGTATTATTTTGAAATAAAATAGTACGTGAGGTATGAAGGTGAAATGTTTTAAAGATGTTGTATGGGGTTGTAATAGACCTCAAACCTGAGGGACTACTATGTAATTTACCCAATTATTTAAGTAATAAACTTAATTTCTCCTAGTTTGCACAAGAATAGTATTTTCATCGAAAATTTCTAAAATAACACAACAAAGTCATTTCTCAACCATTTTTCACATAAGAGCATCAAAATGAAGCTTAGGATGAGGGGAACGTTTTTATACCTCATTGGGGGAACAAAACTTGGTCAGAGGTGACGGGAAATTGGCTTAAAAGCCATTGCCATATTCAGGACTTTCTAGATATAGTAGGTTTCGAGTATGCAAGCTCAAATCCATGGTCTAAGGGTTGTGGGAAGTCATTCAACACCTTCAAACTCGATCAACTCAACAAGGTTTAGATGGGTTTAGCTTGGAAAAATCCTACAACTCGCTAGAAAACATGGTGCATAAGGAAAAAGCTAAACGATACTTCCAAAAGCCACATGCATGTCAAGGAAACATTTGAACAACTTGATTAAAGCTTAGAAAGTGAAGAAATCTAAGCTTACCAAGCCGGAGATGGATTTTTTCATCGGTTCCTTCGAGATATGAAACGAAAATTTCATATTTTTCCCGAGTTAGGCACGGCCACGAAATTTTGGACGAGTTGTAGGGCATCCTTGGTGTTTTGAGAGTTTTTGGGTGGCTTTTGGAGGAATCTTGGATGAGATGGTGATGTTTTGAGAATTTTTGGAGGTGGTTATGGTGATGTTTTGACAATTTTTGGAGGTGGTTATGGTGTTGCTTTGGCGTGTTACCGAAAGGGAGAGAGTTACGAGAGAATGAGAGAGTCTGAGAGGGGTGGGATAGGGGTGGGAGAGAGTTGAGAGTTGTGACGTTGAGTGAATTATTAGAGAGAGAGAGAGTAGGCTAAAAATGGGGAAAAGAGAAGGTGTGAAGGAATCGGTCAAATGAAAGAAAATAATGAAGTGATGTGTGTGATGGAACAAGTGTGGGTTTCTAAAACCCAAAATAATTATTTTTTGGGTAAATTACATAATACCCCTTCAGGTTTTAGGTCTATTACAACCTCATATAACATCTTTAAAACATTTCACTTCCACACCTCACCTACTATTTTATTTCAATATAGTACTTCCGTTACATTTTCCATCCATTGATCTGTTAAGAGCTGATGTGGCTGCCACATTTGTGCCACGTGGAATTTTTTTATATACATTTAAAAATAATTAATTAAAGAAAATTTATTATAAAAACCCTAATTTCAACTTCCCCAACTCGAAGCTTTGCTCTCTCTGCGATTCAAGCTCGTAAAAACCCTAATCTTATCTCTCAAGCGTGTAAAAACCCAAATTGCAGTAAACCCTCATCCATTCTCGTATGAAGCAACTAGGGAAGCTCGGTCATCGGGCTCAAGTGCTCCGCGTTGCTCAAGGCACTGAAAGGTTTAGGAGTAGATTGGAGCCTTGTCGCAATAGGGGTTCGTGGGTCGGGTCGAACTCGAACGCTGATGGGTTTAAAGGGTGGTCCGGTTCAAATAATGGAAAAGAGTCATTGGACTTGCAAAGCATGAGCTGGAATAGTTGGCATAGCTAAGACATGGGCAGCGTCGGAGTTGGCGTTGGAGGTGGGACTTGGCAGAAGTTAG